TTTTTATAATATTAAATATTACGAATTACTTAATATTTAATTGTAAATTAATTTAATTAAACAATAAATATACATATTAATTTTAATATGAGCTGAATTCAAGATATTTTTTTTATTTTCTTAGGGTTAATTACCAACGTGATTCTCGTCGGTAACCAGGAAAACAAAAATCAAAATCGCGCCTGAAAAAATTGGCACCTAAAATTTTGGAGATGATTTTGAACCTGCAGCGAAGATCTTTGTGTAGTTCAAGCATGGTTTTTGTCGGTGATTAACTAACATGGCCCAAATTGCAAAGCATTTTTCCTGCATTGTCAGACATGATGTTCGTCGGTGATTAGCGCTGGGCTCGAGGCTCCTCTATATGTGTAGACGTTATGCTTGTTGGTAATTTACTGACGTGGGAACCAGAGATGTTTTCCGGTGGACTGTTCCAGCTCCCTATTTGCAAGATGTTCTTTGTCGGTAATTATGAGTGCGTTTACTGATGTGATTTTCATCTACCTCGGTGATTGAATTACCAAGCCCGGCTTCACCGAGAAACCCATTACCGACTGATTCAAGTGGGCATTTTCTTTTTTTTTTTTTTTTGGTTTCCCGCCGGTAGTGGGCATTTTCTTTCACCAACCAGATTCCCTCTTTTTTCGACATGGTTTCTCGTCAGTGATACAGTGAATTCTTGTAGTGGGAGTATATATGGTGGTTGTTTTCTCGCATTGTTTATTAAAAGAATAGAACTCTATACTATCGGGGCATGTTCTCTTATTGATCAATTTTTCTCGTTTTAGCCCGTTTGAATAAAACAATATTAATATAATTTTGGAGGAAACTTTATTTAGAGTATATGTATTATAAATTTATAGGGAAGGTATTTTATTTGAGTATTAAATGTTTAAAAATATAAATTTATATAAAATAAAATAATAATTAGTATATATTCTAATTCAACATATCTCATAATACATTTATTAAAAAATGATCTTTTTTGAATTTAAATCTAAGGCAAGAAAACAAAAAATTATAGGATTTAATAATTGAATTCATGGGTGTTGTGGAATATGTTGAATTAGAAAGTATACCGATTATTTTCTTATAAAATAATACTAATTATAATCATGTGGTATTAACAGAACACTAATTAAAAAGAGACTTATCATCATACATACTCTAATCGATCTTTTTATGCAAAATAGAATTTCATTGATATATTTATTTAAATGCTAAGAGTTATAAGGCCAACTCAAATGAAATATTATGCTAGATGTATTATACTCATAAAATGTGTAAAAATAAATAATTTAAGGCCTTCATGAATTTTGCATCTAGAACCAAATTCAAGATGCAAAAGTTTCATTCTAATATAATTTATTTAGACAAAAAAATAAATTGGTTGAGCGAAAAAAATTTAGCTAGGGACCCTCTTTGCAGGATTGTCTTCAACAACCAAAATAAACATGACAACAAAATTGAATTCAATCAATATTGTGTTCACATTGCTTTTCTTTTTGTTTTTTTGTATTAACCTCTCGATATTCGGTAAAATTATTATTTTTTATTTAATTAAATAATACTTAATTAA